CACAAGCACAAATCTTTGTGACCTTGGACAAAGCAATAATCAGATAGGACACCAAAACCCACAAGCAATAAAAGAAGAAAAAACTGCATTTAATCAAAATTAGTAATTTCCTGCTTCAAAGCATACTAATTTCCTGAAAGTGAAAAAAACAACCCAGGACAGTAGAAAACATTTGCAAATCAAAAATATCTAATTAGAAACTGTTTTCTAGACTATTAAAGAATTCTTATGACTCAATATATAAGGTAAATAATAATTTTAAAATTGGGTGAAATATCTTAAAAAAGATACTTTTTTTTTTTTGACAGGCAGAATTAGACAGTGAGAAGAGAGAGAGAGAAAGGTCTTCCTTCATTGATTGGTTCACCCCCCAAATGGCCACCATGGCTAGTGCGCTGCAGACAGTGCGCTGCACCGATCCGAAGCCAGGAGCCAGGTATTTCCTCCTGGTCTCCCATACGGGTGCAGGGCCTAAGGACCTGGGCCATCCTCCACTGCACTCCCGGGCCACAGCAGAGAGCCGGACTGGAAAGGAGCAACCAGGACAGAATCTGGCGCCCCAACCGGGACTAGAACCCTGGGGTCCTGGTGCCGCAGGCAGAGGATTAGCCAAGTGAGCCGCGGTGCCGGCCAAAAAGATACTTTATATATATTATAAAAAAAACAGTGAGGAGGCCGGCGCCGCGGCTCACTAGGCTAATCCTCCGCCTTGCAGCGCTGGCACACCAGGTTCTAGTCCCGATCAGGGCACTGGATTCTGTCCTGGTTGCCCCTCTTCCAGGCCAGCTCTCTGCTGTGGCCCAGGAGTGCAGTGGAGGATGGCCCAAGTGCTTGGGCCCTGCACCCCATGGGAGACCAGGAGAAGCACCTGGCTCCTGGCTCCTGCCTTCGGATAGGCTCGGTGTGCCTGCTGCAGCGCGCCAGCTGCGGCGGCCATTGGAGGGTGAACCAACGGCAAAAGGAAGACCTTTCTCTCCCTCTCACTGTCCACTCTGCCTGTAAAAAAAAAAAAAATAGTGAGGAAAGCTCAGTAAAATAATTACAGTAGAAGAATGACAGCATATTATGTTTTCAATTTTGTATAATTTATAATGAAAAGAATTGCAGAGAAAAATCATGGTCTCATAGGAGAATACAAGAAATTTATAACTGAGCTGGAATGTAACATCTAAAGAGAAATATTAAAGCAAAGACAGTTAATAAGACTCTCGAAGAACTGTATTTAATTCTCAAACTAGTGAACACTACAGCTTATAAGCCCTGGAGAAAATTCTAGGGCAGCCACACCACCACCAAAACATTTTTGGAAGCAGTCATTTGACCGTCATGTACAAAGACTAGGTCAGAGGTTGGTCATGGACCAACTCAAGTCCAAAGATTCTGTGGCTGCTCCTTTACCTTGCACTCAACACTAAGACTGTACATGCACTGGGGACTTCTCTTGGGAGGTTACGCTTTCAGTCCAGCAAGCTGGGGACAGATGCACCCTCCAAGAACATGACCTGATCTTTTCAGAGCTGGGTAAGACGTAGGCCTTCCCAGCTTCTATTTGAGGAAGTTAAATTTTGATCCCATTCCCAATTCAGCCTGACGTGAGATGACCTGGATTTAAGCCATCCATTCTCTTCTTCCTGTGGACGGCTTGAGAGCTGTGCTTGCTTGTTCTGCTCAGGGAGCTGCAACAGAAAGGAAGCTCTGGCTTGCAGTCAGTTATGTTCTTCTTTCACATCAAGGTAGGCAGAATAATGAGCCTCCAAAGATGTCTTTACTGTAATCTGCGCCTGCAACATTTCATCTTACATGCAAAAGAGAATTTGCAAGTATGACTGAATTAGAATCTGGAATCTGGAAGATGATCCTGGATGACTGGAAGGCCCCGTATAATCACAAGGTTTCTTAGAAGGTCAGTCAAGGCAAGATTCGAAGATGCTTTGGGGCTGGCATTGAAGACAGAAGAGGGGCATCGAGAAGCTGGAAAACCCAAGCGAATGAATTATCTCCCAGACCTTCTGAGGGAACACGGCTCTGCTGACACCTTGATTTTAGCCTAATGTGATGTCTGGCTATGGAACTGTAAGATAATGAATCAATGCTGTTTTAAGTAAGTAAATTTGTGACAATTTGTTATAGCCACAGTAGTAAGGACAATCTTCAGAGTAATTTTTTAAGTTTCTTTTTCTGTAGTTGTTTTAATTTATTTGAAAGGTCCTCAAACAGGTCCCAGCAAGGGTTGGGCCAGCAAAGCCAGGAGGCTAGAAAACTACTCAGGTCTCCCACATGGGTGGCAGGGGCTCAAGCACTTGGACTATTTTTCACTACTTTCCCAGGTACATTAGAAGGGAACTTGATTGGAAGCAAAGAAGCTGGGACTCAAACCAACACTCTGACCTGGGATGCTGGCATAGCAGGTGGTGGCTTAATCACTGTGCCACATGCTGCATCCACCCCCACCCCTGCCCCAGTAATTTTAAAATCTCTTATTTCTCTATGTGGCAGATCCAGCATTGTTTATATGCTAACATGGTACAGTGAGGAATAACAGCTGCACCCAGACACTCTCCTCACTCCTGTGTATACGCTCATATACTTACATATATCCATGCAGATGCTAGTCTGTACTCATTTCCACCCTACGGTGCTGCAGGAATTAATGCAGGCCAGCAGCAGGTCTGTAGAACCTTCACTTAAGTGGGGAGGAGTTTAGATCCAACTCCTTTCAATTCAAAGTATGTCATTGTAAAAATTAAAAGAAAAATAAAGAAGGAAGGAGGAGGGAGGGTGAGAGAGAGGGAGGAAGAGAGGGTAGGCTGGGAAGAATTCATTATGCTCTTAAAACTACATATATGAAATACATGAAATTTGTTCCCTTTATATAATACTTTTTTAAAAAACATTGAAAAAAGCAATTCCTTAATTTGTGAAGAACTGAAAAATTTAGGAAGCCTTTCTTTTACACAGGTAACTACTTCTCCAAGTAATTCAGGCAGAGGCCTTCACAATTGTCCCTTGTCAGTTTTTCCATTCTTTCCACTTAACTCTAGGCTTAAAAGCTTTGTCTAAGGGGATGGGTGTCTTCATCCCATATTGGAGTGCCTGGGTTCAGGTTCCAGGTTTGCTTCATATCCCAACTTCCTGTTAATGTACAGCCTGGGAGGCAGCAGTTGATGACTAAAGTACTTGTGTCTCTACCACCTATGTGGGGGGCCTGGATGGGTTTCTGGGCTCCTGGCTTAGTCTGGTCCGGCCCGGGCTTTTGTGGGCATTTGGGGAGTGAGCCAGTAGATGGGAGCTCTGTCTGTCTCTGTCTCCCTCTGTTTCTCTGCCTCTCAACTAATCAAATCTAACCAATGAAAAGCTTTGTATAAGGATACCACACAATTCCCATGCTGGTGAAAAAGGCACAGCATCTCAGTGCTGAGATGGAAGATACCTGGGAATCATCACATGGGCTCTTTAGCTACAGAGGAACATGTTTTCTGTCAACCCTGAGTTTTCAAATTTTCAAGAGTTGAAGTAGAAAAACAGTATCAAATGATTGAAAATAGATCGGATGAGAGCTCTTTTGTAGTCAAAAAAAAAAAAAAAAACCAAAAACAAAAACTAGAAAAACCTTTTTAAAGGATTTATTCCTGGTTTTCAGCTATCCATGGGATCCTGAGAACAGTGTGCCATGAGTTCTCTGGCTGTTACGGAGGCAAGAAGAGGATCATGAAGAGCCTGCATACTCTGTGGTGACCCCAAAGAGAGTGACTTGTAAGATTCCTCTGCTAACAGAAAAAAACCACAGTCCCTGGATGGGTCCCTGTAGGATGTTTTGTAAGCAAATGTTGCCTAAAATATTGAGCACTATTAGACAGTGCCTGAAAACATTTTCAGTGATAAGAAAATTCAGGTACAATCTGACCTGTAACATTTTTTTTCCAAAAAGAGACCAATTCAGTTACTTCACCACAGTTTCATCCCTTGATATCATAAGATAACACTGGCATTCATAACTCAAATTTTACCTAAAGAAAATTTAATGTGGGGGCTAGGAAATGTCTCATGAATTTTAGTTTATTTGCTCAGGATGTGATTTAACTCTTCTATTGCTTTATATTTAGCCTATTCCTTATGGGTTACCAGGAGAACATATGCTTCCTTATTAATGCAAGGCATCAGAGTCTTCCTTTGAAGTTACCCTTTACACAAAATGCCAAAAATCCTAATCTTAAGTGTCATTTTTTAGCATGATGTTTTTGGTTCATTTTACTATGCAATAAAATCAAAAATCCTTTAAAATCATAGAAAACAATTTCTAAAAATGCAGATATTATTTGCAAAGGTATTGCAATTTTTAGAAACACATTTTAATGAGAAAATAACAAATTCTTTTAAAAATTTTCTCAATAAGATTTGTATATAATTTTAGTTCATTTTACTAATGCGTACCATAATTTTTGCTGAATTGAATTCCTAACAGTGACAGTCAAGAAAATTTTGCTGTGTCATATTCAATATTCTGATAATTTATATTCTTTTGCAAATTTGGCTCAGAGCTACTCAAATTCTCTTTTTTTGGTTTTTTGAAAAATAACAAGAAGATCATATTTGCTATTACAGTTATAAGCTTTTAATTTGTTCTTTCCTGTGACTAGAGTGGTATAACTGGAAAGTAAATTCTAGATTTTTGCCTATTATATATGGCATTAGAATGTTGCCATATTTACATGATGTACATCAAAAACCAGTCCTCTGCAATAAAGGTGGATTGGATAAGGGTTATACCACTTTGGACTCAGAATAGAAGAACAAGATGGAATGAAACAGTTTCCAAACAGCTTTTCCTTTTATTTACTTTCCATTTATCAGAGTGCCCTGAAATGACTGTCTACTGTAGACATAACCAACTAGTAAGAAAAACGAACATTTCCCCTGGGATCAATTCTCTGTTATCATCTATTCAGCAGTATGGAGGGTTGGTGGTAGGGGGAGATATTGGTCAAGAACCGCTCACTTACTGGATACGAGTTTGTAAGCTGGTCCCTTGAGAATACAGTGCTCCTTAGGGATGTCCCCTCCGCCTGCTCCCTTCCTCCTTTTTTCTCTCTTTCCACTCTTCCTCTTCTTTTCTTCCCTGAACTGCAGATGACAGAGACATTCCCTAATATTAACTATCAAAGCAGTAAAAAATATTTATAGTTCTAACTTTTGAATAATCAGATTAGGCTTTCCCATTAAGATTCTTTCTTTCTTTCCAGGAAGCTTTAGAATGACCATTCCAATGACCATGACTGTAATTCCCATTTATCAAATGCTTTCTTTGGCCAGGCATTCTGCTAAGTCCTCTTTACACATTATTCATACTTCACATTATCCCTTCAACAAACTTATGATCTAAGTACTATCACTATCTCTGTTTCATACATTGGGAAGCTCAAGGTCAGAGAAATCAAGAAATTTGCTCAATATTGTGTAGATATATTGGTCATAATGGGATCTGAATCAAAAGGAGTAGTTTTAACTCCCTGTATATAGAATGTCTAGTTTCTGTTTGACCACTAAGGTATGATGGTCACTTGAATTAGACCTTAATATCATCAACTGTAAAATGTTGGTACTGGATCAATAAATGGGTCAACAGCAATCCATAAACTGGGGACATGTTGGTTCACATATTTTTGGTTTTGCTGATTAACATGTGAAATGTTAAAATTTTTGTGAAGTCATTAGAAATAAATATGTATTTTTAAAATCAAGAATATGCTAGCAAAAATGTAGATTCCTAGCTACTAATGAAAATGAGAATCTCTGTCTTTCCTTGACTGCATTCTATCATGGCAAAAGTTGGCTGCAAGTTCGTGTGGCAGTGTCCTGTAAAGGATGTACACATGTGCCAGTTCACCATTGTCCCTACCCAAGAGCTTCACTCATTTAAGATGCCTGCCTGATGTCTGCAGACATTAGAGTTTTCACTTCAGGATTAGCTGACTCTTAATGGGTAATCAGTTTTCAACTCAGTGATTCTAAATCTATATTAAAGCTTAATTTTTCAGTAAACTAACTTTCTTATTACCTAAACATGGCCTCAGTGTATAATAACTGGGAATCTCTTTGGAAGTTCACATTATAATTGTGCAGAACGAGACATAAAATTCATCCTAACTTCCTTTTTGAAGAAATACAGGTGCTTCAATGTGTAAGTTTCTACAAGCATTCTTAAGAGCAGATCACACAAAAATTATCTAGTATGTTAAGAGCCACATTAAAATAAAATGAACAGATTATAGAAGATATTGGTGCAATGCTATGCACTTTTTGGTAAGAAGATTTTTATTTTCATATGAGCAGTGGGTGAATGATGTCTAGAATCTAAATACTGGGACTGGTTCTTTGTTTCCTAATTGATGCTTTAATTAATATGAGTGTCTTCCACTAGTGTAAAGCTTAATGTTAGTGAAATATTGTGGAAAATGTAATAGTAATTGTTTGTTTCTTTATAAAATATTATAGTTCTCTAAAATTTCCCTTCTAGCATCAACTTGAATAGGATTCCCACTTTTTAAGCTAGCAAGCTAATGTCTATAGGCATATATTAGTTACACACACATAATGTGCATACATATATCAGTTATATATATATATATAGTTATAGTTATTTTCCTAACATGAGATAAACAAAATTATACACACACAAATTTTGTACCAAGCCAAAGCACATGACACAACAGTCTTGTTTCCATCACACAGAGAAACAGCTTGTTTTAATAATCAAATATGCTTCCTAAGGGTCTTGTTAAATTGCTGAATGTAAATTGCAATTGGAATTGACTATTAAAGATCTTGGTAGAGTAGGTTAAACATCTGTTCAATTTATTACAATTTTATTTGTACTTCAGCTGTAACTGGGGCAATTAAGCCAATCAGAGCAAGCAAATCAAATCTAATTTACACTCTAATGGACTAAAAATGAATGAATAAACACTGTACTACTAGATCCAAATGATTAAACCTGCCTCTAAGGATATGTATTTCTATTTTGGTTCACAAAATCATGGTGTTTATACTATAATTAACCATTTAATAATGATACAAATTTGAACATCTCCTTATTTTACTTTTTTTAATAAAATTGCTAACCAAAATAATAAATTAGAACCCTTCTAACTTAGTTAAATTGAATTATAAAACCATTCATTTAACCCAAGTTCATGTTTTATGTGGATGCTGGAATTTCAATGGAACATTCCAACATTAATCTTTAAATACAATTTTCTATTTTTTTGTGTGTGTGTATGTGTTAGCCATGCACTAAAAGGAAGATTAATAATGGCTTTAGTCCTGTGAGTTAAAACATTATTGATCTTTGCAGGGCTCCTACAATTTGGAAATGACAAGTTGATAATGCAGAGATGCAATGCTCAGTGCATATCTAGGTAGAACAAGCCAACATCCATCTTATTAGGGATCCAGAGTCACTAAAACTGCCAAGGCATGATATACAGGAGCACGGATCCCAAACGCAGGTGAAGCGCTGCGAAGGAGACCCTGTGCTTTACATGGACACTGAGCATGAACTTGCACCATGTCCTGGAGCAGCTAGCCTTTCAGCTCAGCAAATGCTACGTAAAATATCATTTTGTAATAAGCAGTAGCTTGAACACAGATTAATTACTATGTAATAATATACTGGACAAAGTGTCAGGCTCCTTTATATACTACTTATCTTATTTGGAGAGCTAAAATTTCCTCAATTAGGGACAATAACAATAAAGTCACTATCGTACTTTGTCTAATTATTGAAGGTGTACCTTTTGACACTCTCCAGCCGGTCCTTGGTTAGCTCACTGGTAGCATTTACGTAATTTAATTGGGGATGTGGTGCCCTGGCAGAAGCCATGCAGAGGCCACTAGCCCAACATTTTGCTTCCAACGTCTGCTAAGAGCAAGCTGTTTCCTCAAGGGAAAGATCTTGCCTTGGAACACATTGCACAGGGTTCATTTCAGCTGAAATCCACCCAATCAAGGAAAGTCACCGTCTAGACCTTCGACAGTGCACTTCACAGTGCCCCTTGTTAAACCCAGGCCAGCATCCTTACCAAACTCACCACTCTCCTTCCCTGCTTAATCTTGGTTACTTGCTCTCCGTAATCTGTAAGCAATAATTGTTTATCAAGAAGCTACTGAGAACAGTCATGCCTTGAAGGTAAAGCATCTTATTATGTCTGAGTAAATTCATTCCCACATCTTCCTTCCTGCCTTCCCCCCTTTCTTCTTTCCTTTCCATCTCTCTTGTCTTTCTTATTTCCTCAAATCTTAAAAAGCAGATTGGGGCCAGCACTGAGGTGTGCTAAGCCATAGCAGCTTGCAGTACCAGCATCCCATGTGGGCACCAGTTCGAGTCCAGCTGCTCCACTTCTAGTCCAGCTCTCTGCTGTGGCCTGGGAAAGCAGTGTAAGATGGCCCAGGCCCTTGGGCCCCTGCACCTGTGTGAGAGACCTGGAGGAGGCTTCTGGCTTCAGACTGGTGCAGTTCCAGCCATTGCAGCTGGTTGGGGAGTGAATCAGTGGATGGAGGACCTTTCTCTCTCTCTCTCTCTCTCTCTCTCTCTCTCTCTCTGCCTTTCCTTCACTCTCTGTGTAAATAATCTGACTTTCAAATAAATAAATAAATCTTAAAAAAAAAAAAGAAAAGCAGAGAGACAAATATCTCCCAGCTGCTGGTTTATGACTCAAATGCCTGTTACAGTTGGGGCAGGGCTAAGTCAAAGCCAGGAACCTGGAACTTATTCCAGGTCTCCACCACATTGGTGGCAGGAACCCAGGTATTTGGGTCATTACTGGGTCATTACTTCTTACTGCCTCTCAGGTTGTGCATTAGCAGGAAGCATGAATCAGCACTCTGCTATGGGATGCAGGCATTCCAAATAGCATCTTAACCACTGTGCCAAATGTCTGTCCCTCAAATATCTTTACATTAATTTATTTATTTGGAGAAGAGAGAAAGAGAAAGAGACAGACAGACACTGACTATCTGCTGGTTCACTCCCTAAATGCTTGAAATGCCTGAAGCTGGGAGTCAGAAAGTCAAACATCTCTCACATGGGTAGCAGGAATCCAGTTACTTGAGCCACCACTGTTATCTCTCAGGGTCTTCATTAGTGGGAAGCTAGAGTCAGGAGCTAGAGCAGGGCATCAGCCCCAGGTACTCTAAACTGCTATGCCAAAATACCCACTCCCTGCAAATATTTTTGAGATGCTAAGTACCAATGCGACATAGACCCTAAGAACATAATTGTAAACTGGAAAGATATTTTCCTTGACCTCACACAGCTGGTGAGGAAAAATCCATTAATGAAATATGCATACAATGAATAGAAAATTAAACCTTGATAACAGTTACAAGGTTGAGGTCAGAATAGGAAGAAAACAGAACATCGTAGTTTTTTGTTGTTTGCTTGTTTTGTTTTGTTTGTACAATTAGTTTAGGGCAGGGTCTCCAAGGAAGTATCTGTTAGGCTGAGAAAAAAAGGTTGAGTTGGAATTAAATAGGTGAAGAGGGGAAGAGAGAAGGTTCCAGGCAAAGGAGATAGATATGTAGAAATATCCTGAAGTGGATATAAATGGAAATACCCTGAAATGAGGATGATACTTAAGGGAGAGTAACAGACTACCAGGATTGAGAGGGCTTCTGTGAGTGGAAGCGTCTCAGGAAAAGGGGAGTCAGAATTTACAGGGCCTGTAAATTGTGTTAGGGAAAGTTGTCTTTAAGTTAAAACACTATAGACAATTGGAGGAATTTGAGCAGAAGTTAAATTTACTCTCCTCTGCAGAAAGCAAGAGGGGCTACAGGTTGACCAGTTGGGAGAAGGCATAGAATCCAGTTGCAAGAAGATGCTAACTTAAGATTTGGAGACTATTAGTAACTAACAGAAATGGGTGGATTGAGAGGCACAAAGGTATTTGTGTTGATCTTCAGTTATTCCTTGTCTTAGGTACTCAACATTTCCCATTCAGTTTTAACATTATTCTCAATAAACGATCAACTCCCCAAACACAAAGGTCCTATTTTCTTCCTCTTCTACCTTCTCCAGCTTTATCTTCTTTTGCCCTTCTCTCCACTCACTGTAGAACTCAATTTAACATAAAGAAAAAATAGTCTAAACCAAACCTTTCAACTCTGATTCTTCTTATTCAGTTGTCTTTTTTGGGGGGAGGGGGGACTGGGTACTGGCATTGGAGCAGTGAGGGGGTAAGGATGAGATCTTAAAGAACATGTTTGGGATATGACTAAGACATCTTTTCCTTTATTGAGCCCTGATGAACTCTGGCTGTTATAAATCCTGATTGAATCCCGTGATGTTTTCCAAGCAAATGGGACCACTTTGTAAAAAGTAAAAGCATTCTCTCACCATGTGCAAGAGGAGGAGGTGTAAATGGAGAGGAGCCACCAGCATTTTCAGAAAGCTACATGATGTAACAGCCCCACCACACTGCCTCATTTGTACTGGAAAATTTTAAATAGAAAAATATAATCCTGCCCCATTAGCATAGCAACAAGTATGTCCTCAGCATAATAAACGTGGTTCCAGGGTGGCATTCAGTTCTGTTTTGCATGCCCTCTGTCTCACCTTTCACTGCCAATGCCATTGAAGTCCTAATGGAAAGACAGCCTCTGAAAGAACCCTGCTGGCTTTTTGGCTGCCTGTTGGCAACAGAGGAGAATAGGAGGATGGGAATATGCATTTGTAAAGTTCCACTTTCTTATCTTACTTAGGGACAGCATATTATCCTTTCAAGCTCATCTCCCAGCCACAGTAATTAGGCTTTCCAGAAACAGTCTTACAGCTGTCTTGACATCACAATAGCATTTTGATAAGCTTGGACAGTTACCAGCTCATCCGTCTGGCAAGACATTGCTGCGTTTCCAAAGATTTCACTGTATCCTGGTGAATGCCATTAGTTCCCAGAAAGGAAAGAAACTGTTTTTTTTTTTTTTTAAACAATAATATGCAAAGAAGTCATTCAGGAGCATGCTTACGGTGTCAGAACTTTCAGTGTCAAACCTAGCAACAAGTCTTATGATGAATCATTTCTTTATGTGGGCATAAAGAAGAGGGGAGAAGAAGAAAGACAAGAAACAGAGAGAGGTCTTTAGTTGAAAGCTCCCTGAGGTCAAGATTGAAGTTTTCAATGTGGTCCTTCCTTCGAGTGTGATGGTGTACAGGTCACGGTGATATTGTGACAAACAGGAGCCCATCCAGTTGAGCATCTCTGTTTGCAGTCAGAGTGATAGCCTGTATCCTGCTTCAAGGTCTTCCATAATGGAGGAATCTCGAGTTCAACAACAACGTAATTGTCTATGGCCACAC